AGATTTTTCTGTCAGACATTATTTATTCTTTACATCAATCATCAAATATCTATTAAGAGCCTCTTATGTTCTGGGTGTTTTGATGGACATTGAGATACCTCTCGTCCAAGAGCACTGAACTCAGAGATAACCCACTTCCCAACTCAGACTATGAAATCTTGATGATAAAGAAGGTTGTCATTGATCCCTCATCCACCGGCTCCAAAGAAGAATTCTAACGCATTGCTGAAGGTCAAGGAGCGGCCTTCACGTGCAGAAGGAGTCTTCTATTTCAAAGCCAACTGGAACATCACAGAAAGCAGGATCAGAGCAAAGACGCTCTTCAATTTAAACTCTCCATCAGGGGTCAACAACTTTTCATAGAGGGCCAGATAGCAAATGTTGAGGCCTTTGGGAGTCACACAGTTTATTTTGCTTTCTATTCGATTCTGAAGTAATCGTGAAGTAAGTAAGAAGTAAGCATAGGTCATGTGTAAGTGAATGAGCATGACTGTGAACCAATAAAACTTTATTTACAAAAACAGGCAGGGGGAGTACAAAAGGATGAGTCAAATGAGTCAGAGGTTGAAAGAAGAAGAGAGAGATTTCATGTTCATGGAGTGGAAGACCCGATATTGTTTAGATGTCAGTTCTTCCTAACTTGAATTAAACATTCATCAAAACCCCAGTAGAAATTCCAGCCAGCTATTTTATAGATATTGATAAAACTAATTCTAAGGTTTGTATGAAAAGGCAAAGGACGTTGATTAGGTAACCCAGTATTGAACAGGAAGAAGACAATCACAGAACTTGGGTTACCAGATTTCATGTCTGACCATGAAGCTGCAATCATCAAGTCAGAGTGTTACTGGTGGAAAAATAAACAATAGATCAGTGCAGCAAAGTAGAAAGCCTAGAAGAAGATGAAGTTATATAGGATTAGCTGATCAAAGGAATCAAGGCAATTCAATGGAGAATGGATGGTCTGATCAATAAAAGAGGCTAAAACAATTTTTTTTCATATAAAAAACACTGAGGCATAGATCTTACACATTTAAAAAAATTAACTCAAGAGGGATCGTGGACTTAAATGTAAAATGCAAACTTAGATAATTTCTTGAAGAAAACATAGGAGAAAATCTATATGACCTTGAGTTTGTGATTAGTTGTCAAATAACACCAGAAGGACAATCCATGCAAGAAAGAAAAAATGATGTCAAACTTTATTAAAGGTAAAAACTTATGCTGTGTGAAAGACATTTATAAGAAAATAAAAAGTCAAGTCCTGGAGTGGTAGAAAATATTCATAGAACACTCATCTGATAAAGTCTTGTATCCAAAAATATAAGCACTAAGAACTCTTAAAAGTACAATTAAAAAGAGGACTGGAGTTCAATGGTAGAGTGCCTGGCATGCTTTAGGTCATGTGCTACAGCCCCAGCACCTTTAAAAAAAAAAAAAGCAATAAGAAGAAAATATACAACCCAATTAAAAATGGGTAAAAGATATAAACAGAACCTTGCCAAAGAAGACATGTATATGACATATTAGCATATGAAAAGATGCTCAATATAATCTGTCATTATGGAATTGCAAATTAAAACAATGAACCACCTCTACAGATGACTAACATCTGAAAACTAACAATACTAACTTTTGGCAAAGATACAGAGCGCTTACTCATTGCTGGTGGGATTGCAAAATGTTTGAGACACTTTGCAAGACAACTGGATGGTTTCTTATAAAAGTAAACACAGTGTTGCCTTACAATCTAGCAATCACAGTCGTAGGTATTTGCTCAATTGGTTTGAAAACATACATCCGCAAAAAGAATCTATGGGTGCATGGAAGTTTTATTTATAATTGCTAAAAACCGGAAACATCCAAGAAATCCATCAATATGTGAATGAATGGACTGTGGTACATCCATTCACTAGAGTATTATTCAACAATGAAAATAAAGTAGGCAAGGCATCATGAAAAGACATAGATGGATCTTAAAGGTGTATCATTGAGTAGAAGAAGCCAGACTGAAGAAACCACACAGTTCAAAATTGCAAGGATAAGACATTCTAGAAAAGGCAAAATTTAAGAGATGGAAGGAGATCAGAAGTTGCCAAGGGTGTGGAGAAGAGGGAGATTTGAAGATGTGAAACACAGGGAACTCTTCAGGGTGTTGAAACCATTCGGTATGCCTCTGTGGCGATGAGGATAAGACATTACGCTTTCATCAGGACTCCTAGAACTGCATGACACCAAGGGTATACCTGAAGGTGTGCAATTTTAAAAAGTTGTCTGTGAGTTTGAGGAATGCTAGGATGGGATGTAGAATGTGGCCCAAAGATCTACATGTATAAAAAATGTATGAAAGAGCATCAGTGACGGAGGTCAGAAAATAAGATCCTGACCTAAGCCACTTTGGAAACTAGTAGAATCTGTAAGAATAAAAGAAAAAAACTGAACACAAGCCCACTGTGCTGGTAGGTCTTCCCCATGGGAGGATGGGGTCACAGTTCTGGGACAATGACTTACATATGCTGGGATTAGACAAGGAAGCACATGGAGGGGGGAGTCGGAAAGATCTTTTATCCAATGCTGGAGTGAAAAATTATAGATAATCAAGAGGAGGGGATGTGAATGATGATATGCAGTCATGGGCTAGAATTGGAGACATAGTATAAACTTATATTTATCTTAACATGTATACAAATGATTGCTTAGAGAAACAGTCATAGAATATGTACATATACACAGGTTATTACAAACACATCTGTCTCCTGCTCCACCAGTTGAGAGAACCCAGAAGCAATAACCCCTGGTAACAGTGAGCACACTAGGGCCCAGGTCTTTGTTCCTAAAGTCCTTGACTAACAGAAAGAACCAGAGAAACAGCTGATTCTACTGGAGCAGGAAATATCCAAAATGGGGCTGGAGCATCTTGTAGTTCCAGAAAGTAAGCAAGTGCTCAAAACCACAAAAACCAAACCAAACCAAAACAAAAATACCTGCTCTAACCACGGGGAGATGTTGAGGGGAGTCAGCTGAGGGAGCTTCCAGAGGGTAACGTTGATGGGCAAGAAAATAAAGCAGTATTCTATATAATCCCAGGAATAAATTACCCATGAGTTCAAGGTTCTACAGACAGGGGATGTAGCTCAGTTGGTAGAGTGCTTGCCTTGCATGCAGTAAGGCCATGGGTTCAATCCCCAGCACCACAAGAAGACAAAACAAAGATTACATAGATAAACAATTGAATAATTAAATGGAGAACAGACAAATCTTTACCGAAGAAGTGCAAATAATTTTTGTGGCTTCTTCATCCCTAAGAAGGGGGGATATGACCCCCCATGCACACCCTGTAAGAGTGGCCTCTGCATAGTGACTTTCTTTGAGTGAAGTGATGAAAGGGAGGACAAGAAATGAGGTTATGGTAGGAGAACTGGCAGCCTCCACTTCAGCTGGGTCACCCCTGTTAATCTCACACTGATTAACATTATTGAAAGTGTGTACTTGGTCAGGCAGCGGGTGCTCACCTGCAATCCCAGAGATTCAGGAGGCTGAGGTAGGAGGATTGCAAGTTTGAGACCAGCCTGGCCAACTGAGCAAGACCCTGTCTCTAAATAAATAAATAAATAAATAAAGCTACAATGCGGCCCAGTGGTAGAACACCCCTGGATTCAATCCCCAGCACAGGGCGGGGGAAGAGCATGTACTCTTGGTAGAATGTGATAAGAAGGGCACTTGACATCTGTGATCTTCCCCCCAAAGCAATTATCCCTAGCTAATTTGGGGGGTGAAATCAGACAAATCCCAACTGAGGGGAAGTCCGCAAAATGCCTGAGCCCTTCCCTCAAAATGAACTCACCAAAATCCTAAAAAAAACAAGAAAGTAAGTCTGAGAAATTAGCACAGCCACTGGGAGAAGTGATGGCTAAGTGTGGATGGCATCTGTCCTAGGTGGGGTCAGAAAAAGGACAGTAGGGGACCCTGAGGAAATGTGGATCCAGTTGGGCTGCATTTGCTCATTTAATGGTGATAACTATACCACCTCAATGCTAGATGTTCACAGTGGTCAAGGGTGTGGGGTACACAAAGATTTTTAAAATGTGAAACTGTTCTGCTACCCCAGGTCGAGATCTTTAGCCCTGGCTGCTCAGGAGCACCCCCTTAGAGGGACTTTCTAAGGACTTTATTTCTGAAGTGGGTGATTCACATGTTGGAGAAACCAAGATGCTGGAAAGTCTCGATGCTGCTCATGTCCCCAAGTGTTCTGTCTCCCCTGCTCCCGAGAGTCATGGCTTTCCTTAGTTTCCAAAGTGTCTGTATTCAATAGAGGGGGTAAGAAAGTATAGACGTGGCCTTCTCCCTTCTTCTTATGTGAACAACGTTACACCATAAACTCTGTTTTGCCTGTGGTTTTAAATTTTCTGTTTGTCCTCAAGTTCTCAATATTGGGGCAGCGAGATCATTGCTATTTTTCTTTTTGTCCTTGGTGTGGGATGGAACCCAGGGCTCAGCTCATGCTAAGCAAGTGCTCTGCCACGGAGCGAGGCCCCAGCCCTTGCTCATTCTTTAACAGAGGCACAGTCCTCTAAGCCAAGATTGGACTAGGGCTCATGTAACCAATTTCCTACCGACACTTGGGTTGGCTCTAATCTTTGGTGTCACACATGGAGCTGCGGCGAGTATCAGAGCTCCAGGAGGTCCACCTCGACTGGCTGGGCTCTTCAGATGAGCTAAGTGGACAGGGGCCCTGGCCCTGCTCATTTTCAAAAGGTCCTCCAGGGAAGCTATGCGCAGCCAAGAATGAGCGGCACTGCTGGGCCCAGAGGTAGCCTGCAAAGCTAGAACAGGATGAGGGCTAAGTCAGGCGACTCAGAGTCATTGGAGACCTACAGGAAAACATCCAAGGTTCCTTGCAGAAAGATCGGATCACCATCCGTGGAGGAGGGGTGCTGGGATCTGCCTGCCTGCCCTCCCTCCCTCCCTCTCTCTTTCTTTCTTTTCTTTTGACACGTCCCTGCAATTCTAATGCACAGTTAGCGTGGAGAGCGCCGCATCTGGGGGAAAACACACCCATGGGCCGAGGAGGGTCATCTGCAGGGCCGAGAGCTGTCCCTCCACCTGGTCTTCTAGTCGGCTTCCTGTCTCTCGCTCCCCTCCCCAGCCCTGCCCTGGAGAGTCATTCGGAAGTCGACCCAGAGCGGAGAATGGACAGCCGGTCATGGTGAGTGGCCACAGTGCCAGCCCACAGGCGGCATGGACATGAAGGGCACACCCGCTGTCGCAGGGTGCGCACCGCTGCCCATCCGTGAGCTCCAGATTAATGTTTCACCAGCCCTTGATGAGCTTTCGTTTCCTTCCGGCAGCCTCTTTCCCATCAGCAGAGCCCTGGAAAGCCGTGAGGACGCCGGCGCAAACCGAAACTTCTCATTCCTTGTCTTCGATGACTGGGCTTGGAACCGAAGGGGTGGCAGGTTTCAGGCATCACCTCGCTACGGCATGGGGACGGGAGGCGGCCATGGGATTTTTACTGCAACCATTGACGTGGGTTCAATGCTTGCTCATGGATCCCTTGCCCCAGGTGTATGACACTGTTTAACTTTCCCATGTTGCAATGGAAAACCGAGGCACAGAGAGGTTCAGAAATTTGTCTGCAGTCACCCAGCTGGGTAGTATCACAGGAAGTGGTTCTCAAACTAGGTCAACCCAGCTCTAAACCCAAGCTTTCTTCTACCGCCTTCTTCCAATAGGGATTGAGAATGTTCAGGAGAACATTCCTAAGGATGGTCATCTTTGATAGAGTCCAAAAATGTTGACTGTCTTCACCTCAGAGAGGGCAGAAAAGAGTCTCTGTGCATTATCTGCCCGTTCTCAGATTAGCTTTCTGGTTTTTTTTTTTTAATTGTTATTATTTCCGGTGAAGCCATTCTAATTTTTCAGGGCATTGTAACCAAGCGTTCTTTAAAAAGTTCCTCCTGAGGCCCTGTTTTAAATGCCACCTGCAGTAACCACCTGTCAGCAACCATGACAGTTACCAGGTGTGCAGAAAGGTTACCTCCGTGCCTCATCCAGCTTCATTCCACCTTATTAGATAAGCAATCCTGGGCTCCAGGGACTTCCCTTGGCCACGGAGTCCACACCACCCAGAAGTGGTCAAACCAGGTTCAAATTTGAGTCTGATCTGGAGGGGG